CAGTGCGTACTAAATACATGGATTAATTTCTACACTATAAGTGATTGCAGAAAACAGGCCACCAAGAAAAAAAAAGAAGTGTAATGTGTTCACATTATAGTGCTGCTTGCAAATTTAAAGCAAATGACAAATTTTGAATTTATGACAAAGACGCAGTGGTAATTTTGAATCACATTAATTTGTTTATTGGATATAATAATATTAGAAAGGAGAGTTTTTCCCGAAATAAAATGATAACAATAAGATCGCAAATCTACAATAGGTAAGATGATCCTAACTGATAGTTTGAAAAAAATCATAAAAACCAAAACGGTTTTCAATATCGTATTATAGAAAAATTAAGTCCAGAGCAAGCGCGATGTAGAATAAAATTAGAAATGTCGGCGATTTCATAGATTTAATAGTAAGATGGCGGTGCATTTTGTCAGACGTTTAGCACGAGTCGTTGCAAGGTCGCCTTCGACCAGCCGGCGTGCAGCAGACGAGCGAACGACTGTATTGGCCTGAGTCCGAAGTGAACTAGAGCCAACGATTGGTGCACGGGGAGGGTAGCGGACGTCAGAAGCGAAGCCCATCTCGGTCGCGCTGCCATGGGATGTGCAACCAGAGTTACAAAAGTGAAGATGTCACGTTAAGACGGTAGAGCGCTTTGTGAGGCGTTTAACTCGAATGGGAGGCAAGGTCGCCACTGGGACGACCACGACCGCACACACACACACACACACCATACCACACACCGCACCACACACACTATACTAATACGACACATTTATGAGCGGCCGCGCGTTCACCACTCACAATAAAAGGCAAGCGAACGATCGACTAAGGACGAAGGAGTCACACCTTGGACGACGACGTCGAGGAATCGATGCCGCCGATGGCGAACCAAAGAAGAGCGCCTGTCAACGATTCAGAAGATGCACCATGATCGCTGACTCACGACACTGTGGGGAATGCGACAAATTTGCGGCGCCGAAAAAAGGACTGCTTAATGCCCACTATGCCATTACAAACCCGCCGCAATGTCGGTGACCCTGAGGTGAAAGGACGAGGAAAAGTTAAGGACGCTTATATTGTGAGAAAATGCGTCATTGCAGAGCGAGAACGACGCGAAGCGGCAGGCACTAGACCCTAAACTTCAGATACACAAGAAGAGAATAGAACTAAATAAATCCGTCCCTGTGGGTGCAGTACTTCTGAAAAGATGTCGACCACTTGGCCTGATGTCAGCTGCCTGGGGACATCTTCTTACTGCATATCTGTACACAATACAACGGCGAATCTTCAAAAAAAGACT